GGGGCACTCAGCATCTCTGGCAAGGTTTGCAGCATTGATTTTAACTGCTTAACACAAGGACATCCCTGGAATCAGAGTAGCCTGCAGAGCCTTTTAAACGTGCTGCCTCATGTGAAGCCGCAGTTTTTAGGATGACACATTATGTGAATTTGCTCTAGTTTATCTTCACTTTGTTTCTCATATTTGGCCGTCTCCAATCCTCGTAGGGATAGCAGATACGCACAATTTCACATGTTCCTCCGCAGCTGAATTTTCCATGCAAATCCCACTTTTACAGCTCTCTTGTGTTCTCCAAGAAGAGAAATGATGTTTCTGCCAGTTTAACCCATGAAAATACAATCAGCCTCTGAGCTAGGGAAGGAATTAATAAATCCCTGCGAACATTTCTTGGGAAGGAGTGCTGGTTTGCTTTCAAGATTATGATGCAATTTCATTGATGGGATGAGAATCATTTTTGCTTCCATCTACACCTTGGCATGCTCATTAGTTATGTAGCCCAAATGAAGTATTCCCATGTGCATCTAAAGGACCTTCCCACCTTTTCCACCTCTCCGATAGCTTTACTGATTTTCTCTTCAGTTTTCAAAGAACAGTCATAGTTTGCTCTATTTTTAAGCCTAAATCTTTCCATCCTAACTCTCTTGCTGGCTCCAAGCCTGCCTTCCTTCCTCAGGCTGCACTAAAAATAATACTTCTCAAAGCAGCTCTCTCTACAATTGTGCCAACAACAATTGATTGAGAACCAGCTTGAAAGACTGAATCAACATAGTGGAACGATAGCAAAATAGCAACATTACATTGGTACATAATAAGAATGAAGACGTTTCATTGGCAGCCCTATTAATTAACGTTTGTTAAACTCCAAGGGCTAGGGATGGAAGTTACACATAAACCAATTTAAGTGATCAGAAACTGGCTTAAACCTGTAATAGAACAGAAGTTCAGTGCACATAAACCATCTTCAAAATGGCTGAAACTGGTTTAAGATAAACCTGGCTGAATGTCATATCAGACTTAACTGATTTGGATTAAACCAGTTTATGAAACTTCTGTCCCAGACCCCTTCCTGGTTCAAGTTAAATCACAGTGCCCAAGCATCCCAGCATGCTTTCCAACCCAGGGCTATGCTCTGCTATCTGCTCCTGCAGAGGGGACGGGGAAAGGCATGGACTGTCCCCTCCCAGGCAAACCCCAGCTGGGGTCTGGAACTACCCACCTTCCCCCAAATACAGAGCTGTCCTGCTGTGAAACTTACTGCTGGCTGCAACTGTGGACTACAAATCCCAGAGGCACCTGGAAGCAGGAAGAGGAAGTTCTGAACAATCCTGGAGAATCCTGCTGATGTGATTCTGGACTTCAAATCCCAGAGAACTCTGGGGCAGCAGGAAGAGGAAGTGAACACACAATCTATGCTGGCTGCATACCAGAGAGGTGTGCTGTAGTGCCCCCTGGCATTTAGTCTGAGCCACTGCAGGAATGTGGCTGCAATTCCTGAATCAAAAGTAAATGTGTGTCCAGGTTTCTCAGTTTAATCTCTGCAGTTTAGATGAACCTGCAAAGACTAAATCAATTCAGCCTCTGGCTTTCTGACTATCTGTACTTAGCCTATGTTACATCTTGACAACTGTATGGTTAGCATCTATTCCCCTAATAGTCTTATGTAGCAATGAGTAATTACCAGGGATCCTGATTTTTCCCTGATAAAACATCACAAATTCTCTGCCAAAACCCTCCAAATCTGTGATTAAAATTAAAGGCCCCCCACAGCCCCTGTGGTTCTTCCCCCCCAGCCCTGTTGGTGCCTCTTGCCCCCCACCCACAGCCCCTGCCCCCCCCAGCCTTGCCAGAGGAGCCCCCAGCTGCCAGGGCTCTGGGGCCAGGGACCCAGGACTACAGCCCCCTGCCCCTGACGGAAGGCAGAGGCTGCTGCAGCACAGCAGAACACGGAGCCTGGCTCCCTCCCTACTTTCTGTTGCAGGCTTGGGTGGGGTGAGGCCAGCCTCCCCACCACAGTGCACACTACTGGGGAGCAGGGGGGACCTGGGCCCCAGATTTGTGTGCAGGGCAGGGGTGGGGGTGCCCTGTGGGCTTGGGCTCTGGCCCTGCTGCCCTCCCCCAGGGCCTCCACAGCCCATGGGTGTGACCCGGTGCTGCAGGGTGGAGTGTGGCTGTGTAGGAAAGCTGCTTGCAGCTGTGAGCTCCATGCTGCTCTGGTGATGTGCCTCCCACGCGCGGGGCTGCAGTGAGGGCCACAACCCAACACTGTCCCCATGCACACAGGGAAGCATGGAGCTTGCAGTTACAAGCAGCTTTCCTGCATGGTCACACTCTGCCCTTCAGTGCTAGGTCACAGCCATCAGGCTGCAGAGGCCCCAGGGGAGGGCAGCAGGGTAGAGCCTGAGCCTGCAGTGTGCATCCACCCCCACCCCTGCCCCATACATAGATCTGGGAGGCCTGGGTCCCCTGTGCCCCTGGGAGTGTCTGCAGCATCAGGGAGCTGGACACGCCACCTGTGGCCCCACCCCACTCCCTTCCAGGGCCCTGCAGCCATACACTGTGGACTCAGGCCCCAAGCCCTACATCTTGCCTGGCGGGGCAGCAGCCCTAGCCCCAGCCCTACCAAACTCCCTCCCTCTCTTTCTATGGGGGCCTCAATCTGCACCCCCCCACTTAACTGCAGGAGCAGCTCTCCAGGCTGCTGGGGGCCATGAGTATATACATGCACATGGCACTCCCTGCCTGACTGCCCTCTTCCTGCTCCCTCCCAGCCCCTTGCAGGCTGAAACTCTGCCAGCCTGCAGATGGCTTACTGCAAAATTCACAGGTTTCTCTGCTAAAATGAGAAATCTGTGTTTTACTCCAGTAAGGGGGGAAATCTGTGTTTTACTTCATTTTTCTGTGGAAAACA